TTTCATTGTACTAATTTTAAATAAGGTTGTTTGAAAAGTCCTTCATCCAAATGAATACAGTTCTTTTTGATGTCTGCTGAGCAACAAGGTACAATTATTGGTGTGGCTGTTCCTGCATGCAAGCCCAAAGTTCTCTTAGTTTAGATTGGTTGTGCTGTACTTGCACTGGGGATATTAGTGAATGATTAATGGTTTTAGTTCTTTATTGGTTAGAAAATATTACTTAATGAATGTAGTCACTTCTATAAGTGAGGATTACTGTATTTGTTACCATCCACATCAGTGTGTGCCAGCCACTGTGTAAATGAATAAGACTGTCCTTAGGCAAGGAATTCATAACCTAGAGGTGGAAAGCTGTAAGCAGTCAGCTGCTTGGGCCCCAGCTTTGGGCATGTCATTTACTATCAAAAAGAATGATTGCTTTTTCCTAAAGTTTTCAACCTTTACTCTTCACCCCCAAAAATGGGGGCCGCTTTAAGCACTTGTTCATAGCTGTAATACATGCTGAGCATTTTGGGAGTTTGTTGTGTGCTCTAATTTAGTTAGCTCCTGCCTGAATATGGACCTATTTAAAAACAAAAAAGAAGAAAAAATAATTTCTAATTTATTGCAGAAATGCTGCCTAACCCTAAAATATTCAGTTTGGGAGTGCTGCTAAGAAGCACAAAGGCAGATGTGATTATTCTAGTGCTTCAGGGTGCCTATATATGAGCCAGGAGGCTGCTCTGATGCACTGTAATTACAGCACATTGGAGCAGACTAGACTAATTGAATCTGCTGGAGTGTAGTCATTACTGCGCTCCATCAGCCTCTGTCTCTCAGATCAGCATCCCCATGCTTCAAAATGGCGGCACTTTAACTAAAGCTTATTCAAGCTTTAGATAAAGCGTTCCTGCTGCCATTTTGGAGCATGGGGACATTGATGCGCAAGAAGCTCCAGGTGCTTTAATTAGAGTGGCTCTCAGAGTTGCTGTAAATAAAGAGTGCCCCCCCCCACACACACACACTCCAGGAGCGCATGTAAAAATGCTCTTAGAGCCTAATCTAGAGACAGTGCAATATTTAATAGGCAAGCTTAACACGCACAAAAATTCACTAAGCAAATCATGTTGGGTTTTTTATAGCTTAGTGTAGGCAAAGTACATCTAGGCTGCTTGCCTAGATGTACTTTGCACATGGTAGCTTGCATTAATATCAGGCAGTGCAAAAGGGTCTTGGTTATCTATTCTTTAAAACCTAGTTGAGAGAAGGCCTCCATGTTGGGACCTTGTGTTTGAAATTTTCCCTTACCAAGAGAATCTTTTGCTTGAGATTTGAATAAAGCTAAAGTGTTGTGCTGGAACTTACATTTTTTTAGATCTAAGACTTGTGTTAGTGTCTGTTAAAGGAAGGACAGGACTAATTATAAGAGCAAGTGAGATTCATATGCACAAAACAAATGTAAAAGATCCTGGCACAAAGCAAAGTGTAGAGAAATACCTTCGGATGATCAGAATGACAATATTTTAACTTCCATTTCAGGAATGATACCATACCTTGAAAATGGGGACAACTTTGTTTTCTTCACTTAGGGTGCCTACACATCACCGTACGGCGACATTGCTACAGCACCATGCTTTAGTACTTCCTTACTGTGCCATGTGTGTGGCACACAGATTTTGCAGCTACGTCACTGTAGTGGTGTACTAGGCCGGGGGAGCGCACCACTACGGCAACGTAGATGGTGATCGCATGTAGATCTTCACGATCTCTGTTTTGCTATAGGGCTATGTGTAGACATGCCCTTAGACTACTTAATTTTAAGTCTTATCTCCTGGAAGGATGGGGTGAGGGGAGGAGTGAGTGTTCCAGAAAGCCTTTACCTGGATTCCTTGTACTGAAATTAAGTTGTTGCAGTCCTAATACATGTAAAAGCTCCTAGGTATAAAAGCATTGTCCTACTTTTGGAGAATTCTGGTGCACCTAGTACAGCACACGCAGCAAGTCAAGTAGCACCTGTGCTGGAACACATGCTGAGCCCTTTCTGCCCTTTTACTGCTACTGGACTTGATTCCCGTTTGCATTAATGCCCTCTTGTAAATGCAGTGGCAAAGCAAGGAGCTCTCTAGTCATCTTTGATGGCCCTCTACATTGCTGTTGCATGTAAAGGACTTGCAGACATCAGGAGAGCTAAATCTTACTGTATTTTCTGTAGCTGACTCCTTGGGTAACTTGGAAGTGTAGTAGGATCTGCTTTGAGCTCTTAGTTCCAAACTGAAAGTTGTCCTGTTGAATCCTTAATAAAAAACAGCTGGCCGCCCAAATTCATTTAGCCAAGGGGCAGTGGTGATAAAATAGCAAAACCTTATCATGTCTTAACAAACTAGCCACTCCTTCTTTGTCAGGTTTAATTTCCTTGGAGTCTCTGTGCTGTCACAGTCCTGCTGGCATAACAGGGTGATCTGATTTTAACCTGTATGTAGATTCCTAAAGGCCAGGACTGCTTTCTCTCTCATACAAAGTGAGCAGGGGAGCAGACACCTAACTTTTATTTTTTGCCAAATCACCTTTAAGTCTCTTTCTGGGCCAGAGGCTGGAGATCATAGCTGTCAATTCCTATGATCGTCCTTGTTCTTTTTCTCATTCTTTGCACCTGTTTCAATTTCTTGACCGTGGATGACCAGAATGGTACACAGTATTCCAGAACAGGTCTCTGCAGGGCCTCTGTGTCATTATTTTGCTTCTGGTGGAAATGCTTCTGATGTAGCCTTTTTCACAGCTGCATCAGACTGGTGACCTAAGCATTCTGTGATAGAGTAGCACACAGAAATCTCCCTCTTCCTCCTCATTTGTTTCCAGCTGATGAGGTCTAGTTGAAGATTTTGTCACTGCATTTTGAACAAGTGCAGGCCACTTGCATGCATACTGGATAACTGCAGTTATCCTTAATACAATGCCAGTCCAGATATGTTGCCTTTGCTTGCACTGCAACCAACATCAGTTATCTGCCCACTGTAAATGCAGAAATTGCTAAACCCACGCATCTTTCAGCTACGCTGTCGACTTTGTAACTAATTGTACTCCATGTAACTGCATTAGAATTAGTGAAGGGAAGCTACTGTCATGAAACTGACTAGCATGTGTCATTTTCAAGGCCTATAATAGTAGCTCATTGGCATCTCCCCTTACTTTGAAGACTTAATGGTAGCCTGGAAAGTGACTATTAGAAGCCTTGAAAATGAGGAAAGCTGCTTTGCGTTTGATGTTGCTAATACCCCAGCTCCTACAGAACAGTGTAGTTACCATGCTTTGTTTACATTCAGTTCCAGTAAATGTATACTCTGGGGAAATGCATAGCCTTTTCTCACTCCAAGGATATGCACTTCATTGAATTTCATCCCATATCTGTTGGCCAGATCAGTCTGTGTGACACTGTGATCCTCTGAAACATCTGTGGTTTTACTCCATCACTATTCAAGTTCCCCACACTGCTAGTCTTTCCCCAAAGAGAGCAAGAAGGGGACACATGCTATTGTGAGACAAACTCTTTTCCTCATGAATAAAAACAATCCTGTTTGCTAATACAGGAAAATGCTAGTATCTTACTAATACAGAAAAGTTGTTTCAGGTGAAGGCTCTTTTGGAAGTACTTCTTATCTAGCAAGAACAAAGTATTCCATACTTATGATAGTGCACTTGTACTTTTTCCTCCAAATAAAATCCTTTTAATTCTATACCATTGCTTCCAGGTTTTTTTTTAATTGACAGATCGTAAATACTTCCATATTAAGACATGTTACACACCAAGTTGCATTAATTTTTCCTCCCTCTCTAGTATGAAGTGCTGCTTTGTGTACAAGATCATGATGATCCAGCTATTGATGTGTGTAAGAAGCTTCTTGGCAAATACCCAAATGTCGATGCCAGATTGTTCATAGGTAAGTAATGCAACTGCATGGCAGGACACTCATCTTTTGCGGAAGTGTTAGGAAGCCCCTAGGATTTAAGTCCTTCTAAATTGAGTAGCCTCTTTAATCTGCAGGTAATGATTTTGGACCATTGGACAGTTGATGGGTGAGAGGGAAGACATAAGTTTGCAGCATATACATGACATCAGTTCTAAAATAAACTTCAAGAAGAGTATTTCTGCAACTGAATATTTGCCACACTTTTTATTCCTGACTCGCTGCTCACAGTGCTAATATAATGCAACTGAGTTGCACAAGTATTAGGGCTGCCAGTAGCTGTGCTATAGTGAGCATAAATGATTTGCCTTTCAGAATATGCTCTAAGTAAGTGGTCAAGCTGTTTTTGACTACACCGAGTGCTTAAATCGATAAATTTTAATTGTCTGAGGATTGTTCCTGCAATACAAAGTTTAATAAAAGAAACGCTTATTTGGGAGTGCTGCAGCATTTGTTAGAGCAAGAATGCATCTCATTTAATTTAGGATTTTAATGTTTCCTTTTCTGGCTAGGATGAGCTGAAGAGACTTTCAGAAGTGAAAACTAGACATTTATCTGTCGTATCCAGTACACTTACTTATGTGTAAAATTAGTGTTGGGTTTTGGACACCTGTATAACTTGCTTATTTTTATTTCAAGGTGGCAAAAAGGTTGGCATCAACCCAAAGATCAACAATTTAATGCCAGGGTATGAAGTTGCCAAGTATGATCTCATCTGGATTTGTGATAGTGGAATCAGAGGTGGGTGTGCAGTGTGGTCATTTTGCATGTTTATGTGCATTATGGTTTAATTCCAAATGTTGCAGTCCTCTAGTCTTAAATATGTAAATCCTCATAAGTTGCTGTAAATATTGTCCTGTTACTTTTCATTGGCAAACTTAACATTTTACAGTCTGTTCAATGGTGACATTTTTGGGTAATGAACTTCAACAAAATAATTTTCACTTTTATGGCTCGTCTGACAGAAGAGGTTCAAGTATATTTAGTGACTTTCTGTTTTAACAACAAACAAATGATTTCATAGATTAATTCTGAAATATTTATAAACTATTTCTTTTTTAGTAACACCAGATACGTTAACTGATATGGCCAATCAAATGACTGAAAAAGTAGGCCTGGTCCATGGGCTGCCTTATGTGGCTGACAGACAAGGGTTTGCTGCCACTCTAGAACAGGTTAGTACAGACTTCTTTTTTTATTGTGTTTTATTAATAAAATAATCCTTTTTTGATGAGCTTCAAAATAATGTTAACTCTTTAAGAAGGCAAAACACTTCTCACTTTCAGATATAATCAGAACCCAAAATTAGGTGCATCTTTAACCTAGATTTACAAGGAGGCACATAGCCTTTTGTCTGGTGATTTTAAGACGGTACACATCCTTTATTTTATTTGAAGCTGTAAATGATAAAAAATCATGATCTGAACAGGAAGTTTCTTAGATTAAGGCAAGAATAGTGGTGATACAGGAGATGAGACTAGACCCATCATGAGGCCTTGCTCAGCTATCCTTATGTTGAACCTAGTGACTTAAGATTAAAGCATTTTATCCTGAGGAAGTAAAACTGCTGTTGGTTAAAAATGAGAGGTTAGGAGGCTACAAAAATTCCTGACTCTCAGCAGTTTGGTTAGTTGGGCTTCCTGTGTAGTTTTAAGGTGTAGGGAAGGTTCTGAAGCAACCCTGACCCCCGGTATCATAGACCTTTTGTGATGACTCTTCTGTTTAACTGCAGTGATAACCACTAGTCTTTTCATGAGACATTTGGGTTATGTATTGCAGAATCTCTTTCTTTTAGATGGCTCTGTCTCTGACAGCCTCTGTGAAGGGGCTTTTAATAGCAACAGGTTTGTGAAAATCTCTAGGCCCTGCTTTTCCCTCAGAAGGACACTGGGTATTGGGTGAAAGACAAGGTGTCAGGGACCTACTACCCTTCTGTTGAACTCCGGCAAGCCAGGGAGGAGACTAGCTTGATTTTTGGCAAATGTTTTGTGAGCCATTTTTAATTTTACTGTATTGTTAAATACTTACTCTGCATAAACTGTAAACAGAAATGTATTCTTTACTTCTTCTATAAAACTGTTCCTAGGTTAAAAATATATATTTTTTTACAATCAGGATAAAATAAAAAAAGCAAATATATTTTTGACAATAAGGAAATGATGACTTTACTAATGAGAAGAACTAGTCTAATGTCTTGCTCTGGCTCTATTTTTGGTGATATTCATGACACTTTTGAGCGCTTTAGTAGAGCATGTGTATGCAGAAATGCATACAGAACTTTTTTTGAGATGAGTTTAGTCCTCTTGTTTACAGCTTATTTCCAAACTGAACTCTGGAATTTGAATATACAAAACTTAAGAATTCTAAAGTGAAGTTTCTAATTAAAAATGAAAACAAAACTTACTATTTACTCTCTCCATTCACACTCACCTGCACGTGCGTAGATTAAAGGAGAATGTCCACATACTGTCCTGAATCCTTTTTTTCTGAGATGGATACTCCTATGACTTGGTCCATCTCCCACAATATGTACCGTCAGGTATACCTAACCGTACTTGACTGGTTAATACTCTGTTGATGGTCCAAATAAAGTAAAATTGTGCACCCTACACTTCTCTCTTTGGTGTCTGTGCATAAGTTTCACATTTAAGTGATCCTGCTAATTAAAACAGTGATCCTGCTAATTGTCTTTTCTCAGGCTTTCAAGCTTTTTAAGAATTTCTGATCACTAGGCTTTTTTAGTGCAGATTTCAGCTTTAATAACACACCTTTTTTTGGATAGTTCCCTAACTTATTTTTGGCTTTGATGCAGTTGATTTGATAGAGATCAAATATTTCTGTCAAATCCTGATCCATTTTTACATCATAATTGATGTGATCCCTGAGTTGACACAACAAACATGGGTCTGTAGAACTTCAGATACGTAAGCAGTTTGTAAGCCGTTATAAATTCTGTAGTCAGTATTGTCAGCATCTTTGCACATCAGAGATGGTATGTACCAGAAGTGTTAAGTGATAGGGCTCATGATGGTTAAGTTTTGATTTTTACCCACTTCCTTTTGCATCCCATTATACTGATAACAAAACTTTTTAAATAAGATCCTCCATCTGTAACTTTATGACAAATAGCAGCAATAAATTCCCCCCTCCTTCCCTCCCTTTCTACTCTTTGTGAAATCTGTACTAACATTTTGGTTACAACACATGAATAAAGGAAATCTGTAGCTTCTAGGGAGGTTTCATTTTCTTTTTAAGAGTTCACTGGGCTTGTTTATGATTTCTAGTTTTGTACTAAGGCTAATAAATTGGAGAATTTCAGAAAGATTAATGTGCTGTGTTGCATCTTTTTTTTAATCAAAGTCCACTGAGTTTTTTGGGTTTTTTTAACTGTACTTGTAAATAGGTAATAAAACTGAATAAAGTTGGAATAAAGGAAAGGAAAGTAGTAAAAATACAAAAGCAGACTTTTTATGTCTTAATGTAAACCTCAGTGTTCCTAAGGCGTGAAACAAATGGAAGTAGTTAAAAACTTTCTTTTTTTTTAAATTAAGAATGAAAGTGGATATAAGAATTTTTTTTCATCAAAGGAACACTGTTTTGTAACAGGCAAGCAGAAGGGATTCAAAACGAGTAACAGTATAGTATAACATCTTTTATTGCTTGAAAAACCTTTTGCAGATATCTTCGGATAAGTTGATCACCTCTAACTCGCCTTTTACTCAGCTTGTTAGAAATAAATCCTAAGAGAATAATCCATATGTGAATTAGAAACAGACTTTGGTTAAAATTATAACAGTAGAACATTTAAAATACCAGTTTTTACTACCTTTTTCTGTAGGTTTATTTTGGAACTTCACATCCAAGGTCATATATTTCTGCCAACGTAACTGGCTTCAAATGTGTAACAGGAATGTCGTGTTTGATGAGAAAGGATGTCTTAGACCAAGCCGGAGGACTTATAGCTTTTGCGCAGTACATTGCTGAAGATTATTTTATGGCCAAAGCAATAGCTGACCGGTAAGGTGGAATTTTCCTGGAGTCCTTTAAATTTGCAGTATGTTCTAGATGTTTATAAACATCTATTTGTCTACTGACCTAAGCATTTGATTTGCAGTATGTTTGCTGTGCATCTTTGAAGCAATGGTAGGTGTTCCTATTCACTGCATGAGAAGTGGTAGAAGCATGTGCTATGTGATCTAAGCCTTCCAGCCCTGTTCGTGAAATGGCCTCTGAATTAATGTGCAAGGTTATCCTCCTACAGCAGTTGAGGATATCTGACTGTTTAAACTTTCAGATTATTTGGTACCATGAAATTTGCATCTGGGTAGCCTGGTAATCTTCTCAGTCCTCCCTCATCCCTTCTCCTGTGGTTTGCCATGTTCTTGTTTCAATCCAGACTGCAAGCTCTTTGGGGCAAGGTGTCTGTCTCTCTTTGTACAGTCACTCTGTACCAATGAAATCTTGAGCCTGGAGTCTGTAGGCACAATCACAGTACAATAACTGAGAGAGAATAATAGTGGGCATGTCTATCTGCTGCCCTGTATGAATCGGTCCTTTGAGAAGTAATTACATCAGTATATCAATTTTACAAGTATGTAAAGACCCAGGTATTCTGAGAACATTGAACAAATCCTGCTGTTGACTTTTCACATTTTCTGAAGTAATAATAAGAGTGTGTTCCATTTTTCAATTTCATGTGCTTTTGGAAAGTTGCTTTTATGCAGCATGAAATTTTAACCATTTTATTCTAATAGCACATCTGTTAAGAATAATAATACGCATTGCTTTTAAACAGTTGCACTGGATTTATTCCCTGTATCTGTAAGTAACCTCCAACTAATGTGAATTCACTTTCAGAGGTTGGAAATTTGCAATGGCCACACAAGTTGCAATGCAAAACTCCGGTTCATATTCCATTTCTCAGTTTCAGTCCAGGATGATCAGGTAAAGATTATTAACTGTATCATAACTTTCTTCTCTCTCTGTTCTGTCCTATTGCATGACTCCAGTCTACATGCCTCCCAGTTATGAGGTATCATGCACCTCTCAGTTAATCAAGTGTCCTAATGGTCCAGTACAATGTAAATGGATGCAGTTTTCATGCTAGAGTTCTTTGTAAAAGCAAGGGAGAATTGAAGATTGAGGAGCTTTTAACAGAGCAAATACTTATGATAAGCAAACAGTCCTGGTTTTGGCAACACAATAATGGCTTTTAATAAAGGTTTTGGATCTTCTGCTCAATTGCAACATATGTATTAATTGTGTGAATATTTCCTTTTGAAGTATCTAGTAAGCAAAGGATTAGACAAATGTTCTCTTGCAAAGAAGGTTAGGGTATAAGGCTTCTTGGGATAGAGAGGAGGAAACTTAAGGCATTAGGTATTTGCATAAGAATGTACAGTTTGCCTCCCTTTAAAAATTAACTTTTTGTTAACTTTAGATGGGCCAAGCTACGAATTAACATGCTGCCTGCTACAATTATTTGTGAGCCAATCTCTGAATGCTTTGTTGCCAGTTTAATTATTGGATGGGCAGCTCATCACATCTTCAAATGGGATATAATGGTATTTTTCATGTGTCACTGTTTGGCATGGTTTATATTTGACTACATTCAACTAAGAGGTGTCCAGGTATGTAGCTTTGGGCAGGGGAGCATGTTACCTTGCCAGTTTCTTGGCTACTGAAATTATAATGGCTTCTCAATGCTTTTGAGATCTTAATTGACTGGGAATCTGTAAATAAATTAAAGAAACCTGTTTGCCACCCATCACACGTGACATCTTATACCTTGCTAGACATCATTCTGTGGTCCTGTTGTTTGACATAGCCTCCAGAGTAGGAGATGACAAGTTAACTTTACAAATTGTTGCACTTCCTTAAGAGTGGGAATTGTACAGAAATGTTTTCCTCTGATCTAAAAGAAGCAGCAGTGGTACCTTTTGGATGCTACTTTCATTTAACTTGTATTTTAAATGCCGAACTCAGAGTGAAGTTTAATAACAGAAACTAACTTTGTTGGGTTATTTGCATCAGGCACAATCATTCTGCTGCTGCATAAAAGCATTTACTAAACTGGTTGTTATGAAACTTGACCAGATACAGAATGTGGCAACATGGGGAATTTATTTAGAGGGAAATACCTTACGAGTTGGTCTTAATTCATAAGAGATGGTACCCTTGATAGTGTGCAATGTTTACACGTGATGTATTTACTCTAGTAGTTGGAATAATCCATTAAATGAGTGTATGTTTGTCTAATTCCCAGGGTGGTGCACTGTGTTTTTCGAAACTTGATTATGCAGTAGCTTGGTTCATCAGAGAATCCATGACTATATACATTTTCCTATCTGCGTTGTGGGACCCAACTATTAGCTGGAGGACAGGACGCTACAGGTTACGCTGTGGAGGCACTGCAGAGGAAATCCTTGATGTATAGCCACAGTTTTGACTGTATTTTGAAAAGGCAGAAAAAAAGGAGAAGTATTATAAATTATGTTTATATAAAGGCTTTTAAAAAATTTACCTTCAATAGTTTTATTACTTGTATGTTTTGGTATCTGTTCTTTAATTTATTGTTGCATGGCACTTGCATCTGTGAAAAATCCATCTGTAGTCTTGGCCAAATGGTACCTTGTTTTTTGTACCTTGTACAAAAGGAAATTGAGAGAATTGGTCCCAGGATCCATTTTCTTTCTGAATGCTCTGCAGTAAACTCTAAAGACAGTATCCTTATGTATAGGAAAAGCTTCTTGCTGTATGGTATGCTAGCCTAGTAGAAGGGATAAAACAGTCTATGTCCATTTGGATTGTACCAGCCTGGAAGGCAGTAACAGCACTGCAGAAGTACAACTGACTTCTGCAATGTCTGAAGGACTGAGCTAGTAGTGGGACACAAAGAAAGAAGCTCTTAGATGCTTTCTGCCTACCTCTTATAGTTGCTGCAGAGTGAATATAAACTAATAGGTAACTAGGCCTTGCAAAAACAAAGCTGGAGTCTTGTATTTATATGTAAATATTTAAACTATTTTTGTGTCTCTGCAATGAACCAAAAGTGGACTGAGTTTGATGGGGCAGGTTGGAGGGAATTATTGGTTAGCCATGTGTGAGGGCATCTTTTGGCCAACTCTAACTGGTTCTGTTTTGAACCATTGTTAATCACTGTGCTGTAATTAGCCTAGCTAGACCCCTTCACCATTCCCATCCTTTTTAGGGGTGTTTTTGTTTCTCTGTGAGTGTTTTGATAGGTGTAGGGGGGCGGGGGGAGGATTGCATTTCAGAAACATTTCACACACGAGCTATTTTCTTACACAATGTCTTATTGTTAATAACAGAATGTAATTTCATGATGCAGGTATTTAATATCTTTTTTTAAGTAAACATATATACCTATACTAGTCATGAATAAATATTAAATTGCAGTAGATATTGAGTGTATAAAAAGGCAGGGTGAGTTTGCTGTTACTGATTTAAATTCTAATCTTAATTTAACTATCAAACTAAGTCTACTCCTGGCTTTTTGCCTTCTACTGTTAGTCTAGTCTTTAAATTGGATTTTTGTATTCCAGTGATATGACTAAAAGGACTAGATTATAACCAGGTTGTAAATGCATGCTGTATTCTTTCCGTCTCAGCTCCTGTCAGCTTGCTTTCCAACCCCACTGTGAGATTGTTCTTAACTTTGTGGTGAACTGGACTTGTTTTTTTTCTTTTTGTTTAAACTAAACAATTTTTAAAGGTTTAAAATGGACACAGAGCAAATTTGGAGGGGAACATTGCATAAGCCTTTTGTTTTCCTAATTGTATTTGTGCTGCTTTTTTCCTGAGAATGAGTTGGCATGTTGTCACCATGAACGCCTGCTGCTAATTGTAGGGCTGGCCTTGCCAGTATGGCAGCTTTTAATGCCTAAGTTTGACAACATTTTTATGTTAGAAAGCGTAATGTGTAGCATATTAGCAATAATATGTACTTATAGAAAATGGATTATTTTTCACCTTACTGAGCCAATTCATTAACTGTATATGACACGCACACAAACATAATGTGTGAATATGTACATGATATAAGATATATAACATAAGCATCACTTGGTTGCATATTCTTTTTGCCTTATGACATCACTAAACTTGTTTTTGAAGGGCATTTTTCTACCTGAACAAAGGCTTTTTTATGCATGTTCCATTCTTTACATGTGAATCAGGAAGAAAGTCTTCCTGAGGAAAGTTGCATACTGAAAACCAGTCTAGTTGTGACCCACTAAAAGGTTTTTTAACAACACTACTAAACAGCTGAATTTTGCTGATTACAAGCGTTTGTGTGTTTTATTTGTTTCATGAAGTTTGGTTGATGCCATTCATTGCGCTGCTAAAGTGAAGCCTAGCTATTACTCTAGCTTTATGCTGATTTCCATATGGGCAGTGTAATAGAAAAACCAAAAAGGCTGAACAGACTTCATTTTTAAAAATGTTTTGCTGGTCTAAAAGATAATTGTTGATGGTTGTTTTTTGCATTAGTGGAGTTTTTCCTTGAAGAAAATTGGAAGCTTCACTTAAGCAAACAGCTTGATTTCTTGTATTGTTTAAAAAGTTGGGTTGATTATGAAATGGAAACCAATACTTTTTGAATATTGTAGAGGGCACTGCAACAGAACTGCGTAAATTCAAGTACAGTTAATTTAAAGTTGTTTGATCAACAGATGTTGAATATACCATGTTTATTTAAAATCATTGTCCTGTTTTTGTTTAAAAAATAAATTTTTGAATACAATCAAGTGTTTGGAATTTTTTTTACCATCTTCTGCTGAACTAACACTTTCTTATATCCCAAGCCTCTTGTGTTGTACTACTAGTCATCCAGGTATGAAATCAAATTCTCATTTTAAGTTGCAGTATTTCTATATGATGATCCATTCATGTTTGGCAAAAGTACAACAGATGGTTGCTAGAGCTTTTTCCATTCTATAGCTTTGAAACTTGAACTCCACTCTATTTATCTAGGTTTTCAGTTCACAATAAAACTTGCCAAAGATTTATTTTGATCTCTGATGAATAAACTGAATTTTACTAGTTGAGCTTATGGATAGGCTTATGCATGGCTTGTTGCAGAAATGTTGGTCCTTTTAGAAGTGAAGTGCTTTCAAGGGTGGGTGCCATTGCCTTGGAACACGTGGGAATTGATGCACAGTTCGTCTGACTTGGTTGAGGTTCACAATGAACTTGAGGCAGTTGGAAATAAAAACTAAGTCTCCTGACTTGAAGTGCTTGGCTTGGTTTCCTTAGCTTTTCCGTTCTTTTAGCTGTGTTCCAACACAAACTTGCATACTTCTTGCAAAAGTAGTCCAGAACCAGTGTGCACAGAGAGTGCAAGCAGTTATTGCTCACTGCTCTAGCAGAAGGCCTTCAACAGTGAGGGTGTTTTTTACATGTGCTCAGGGCAGGGGGAGAGGGGAGCACTTTAATTGGAATGGCTCTGAGAGCTGCTCTAATTAAAGCGCCCAGAGCATCTTGTGTATCAGTGTCCCTGCACTTCAAAAGGGCAATGGGGGCACTTTAATCAAAAGCTTTTTTGACAAGCTTTAGATAAAGCATCTTTGCTGCCATATTAAACCGTGGGGACTTTGGTACGTGAGACTGGCTGGGTGGAGCACAGTAATTACTTGATTTAATTAAGTCTGCACCGATGTGCTGTAATTACAACGCGTTGGAGCAGTCTCCACGCCCATGTACAGAAACCCTGAGGCTTTTACTTATGGGCTTCAATATACTAACTTCTGCAGTTTCATTTATCAATGGGATGGATAAATAAGTTTGGATGCTGGAGTTCCAGAGAAGTGTAACCACCAGTGCAACCATTATGAAAGGTGTCTTAAAAAAGGAGGAAAGACAACATTGAAAGATGTGTTCATACCTGTATCATGCGACTACTCCAGCTTCCTAAACATTAACAAACAGCATTCAAACTTTTTCTCCCCTTCCAGAACCCCTAGTCATTTTCCCACCTATTATATAGTTCTCATTTCTATGTTTATTTTCTCATTTGCTCAGTCCATACTCATGACTTGACTTTCTTCTCTCCTTTCCATTTCAACTTTCTTGCTATTATATGCCCCCCACTAAACTGGATGCTCTTTATAGTCATCCTCTTCTATATTCATTTAATCTTACAATCCTTCTTTATTCCCTTCTAACACTCTATATAGTTCTTCCATTTCCTGCATGTGTATTTGGATGCACACATGCACACCCTTCCCCTGCCTCAGAGGTTAATCTAGTTCTATGAGGCCAAATCTGGACATGATTACACTGATTTTTTTTTTATTTTACTTTATTTGGTTTGGTCTTGAAAACCAAAGGTCTAAAATAATGCAACTGTTCAGTTTTATAACACCTATTTAGACTGTCTTAAGCAATCAACTCTGTGGTATCAAAACATATCTAATCAATAAAGCATTGTAAAGGAGGGTGAAAATCCTGAGAAATTCCATTCACTGTATTGAACTTCAACTTGTTGATGTGAAGGTGAACAAAGTTTAAATTGTTGAGTGGTGGTACATTTAGATTATATCCCAGTTGTTCATTTTAGCTTATGCTTTATCTTATAGTAGATTTTTTTAAAGCAAATTGCATTTTAAAATTGGCAGCAGAAAAAGCCACAGATGGAAAAAGTATACACAGTAAAAGCTGTTATCCTGCATCCCCTGGATATCAAATATGCTGGTTAATCAAATGTGCACTGTCTGGTGCATTCCCCAGCGTCAGGGTGCCAGGGGACAGGGAGGGGGGCCCTGCGCAGGCTGCTTTGCCCTGGGCTGTGGGCTGAAGAAGTGGCAAAGAAAAACTCGGCTTGCGGCGGTGGAACAGGAAGTCTCCTAGAAGTGGTGCTTCCGGTTTCACTTTTGTCGCATCCCTCAGATGCCAGTTAATAGAGTTTTCTGGCTAATAAAGTGATAGTTAATGCAGCTTTTGCTGTAGAAAGGTAAGACGAAGAGTGGAATCCTTGTTTTGTTGTGCAGTATAAACTCCCAGTGCTGAACAAGTAAGGGCAAATTGTCATTCTGTTCTTTTTACATGCCACTGGTGCTTGTCACTGTGAACATCTTCAGCAGTTGAAAACTAAACCCCTGTCCCTAAGGACAAGAAAAGTGCCAAAAATGCTGCATTAAGGCTCTCTGTCACCCCTCACCTCAATTCTGTCTGACTGCCAATCTCATGATGGTAAAAACTAACTGTATTGAAGGTCCTTAACAGAAGCAACTTGTAAAGATGGGATGGGTAACCCAGGTGAGCTGGGGTACAGAAGCAATTAGTCCCCTCCAGTGAATAAGTTCTATATTCAGATTTCATTGCAGAAATGAACCTTTGACATGTGCTTGCTGAATTGTAGGCAAAAAAGTCCAACTTGTGAAGCCCAGGCATTGTTATCTTGGTTGTAGAATATCTGGGAGGTACTTCTCTTACGTTTTGTATGCTGGGCTTTCTGCTGGGATCCTTATTTTTAAGAAGTAATGTAAAGGTCCCCTCACTGTGAATCAGCACGGTCATTTCTGTGTACAGAGAGAGAGCAACTTCCAAAATTTAAGTGATCCAAAACTCCTTTTGACTACTTCTGAAATATGAGCTTTCATGTTTGGCCTATGGCCAAAATACAGCAGAATTTGTACTTGGTGGTATTGGAGCTCCAGGTCAGTGAAGAGCTGTAGCAAATAATATCTTTGATTAATTTATACACCAGGCAACAGTGGGGTTTTTTCTGTTGGTTTGTCTTTTCTTTTTTCTTTTACTTGAATCAACACGAGTGAATAATTACATACTTGTGACTGGCCAGTCGTTGTGTGGCACTTTCATTTTACTTGGATAAGCAGATGACAGTTGCTGATCAAATTGATGTTTGCTTTGATATTCCAGTGGGCCAGGCTCTGGTTTTGGGCAGTGTGCACTGCAGCCATGTGTGTCACCCTGGGCAGGTTAGAAAAGTGGGCAGTACACAATAGGATGTAGTACAACAAGGACAAATGCAAGGTGCTACACCTAGGGCACAAAAATAACCAGCACATCTACCGGCTGGGAAGTGACCCTCTCAGCAGCACAGAAGTGGAAAGGGATCTCAGAGTCACAGTGGACTCTAAGATGAACATGAGTCGTCAGCGTGATGACATTATTAGCAAAGCTAACTGCACTTTATCATGCATCAGCAGATGCATGACAAATAGATCCAAGGAGGTGAATACTTCCCCTCTATGCGGCATTGCTCAGACTGCAGTTGGAGTACTGCATCAAGTTTTGGGTGCTGTACTTCAGGAAGGATGTTGATAGACTTGAGGGTCCAGAGAAGGGCCACTCAAATGGTTAGGGGCTTATAGGACAAGCCCCATGAGGAGAGACTGAGGGACCTGGACCTCTTCAGCCTCCACAAGAGAAGGCTGAGAGGTGATCTTGTGGCCGCCTACAAATTCATTAGGGGGATGCAGCAAGGGATCGGAGATGCTCTGTTCACCAGGGCGCCTCTTGGGGTAACGAGGAACGATGGGCACAGACTGACAGAGGCTAGATATCAGGAAAAACTTATTCACAGTAAGGGTGGCCAGAATTTGGAATGGGCTTCCAAAGGCGGTGGTGCTCTCCCTTACCTTGGGGGTCTTTAGGAGAAGGCTGGATAGGCATCTGGCTGGGTCATCTGACCCCAGCACTTTTTCCTGCCCAGGGCAGGGGGTCAAACTCAATGATCTGTTGAGGTCCCTTCCGACCCTAGCATCTATAAATCCTAAGGTTATGATTCCAGGCTCTTTCTTCAATGGCAAGTAGTAATGGCATGACTGATGTCTGACCATCCTGATCTCAAAATGGTGCATCCAGCCATGCACATGTGGTACGGCAGGAGTTGCAATTGTTGGAATTGGGGAACAGAGCTCACTGCGCTATTAAGTGAATGCATGCCAGGGTCCTATGTGTATGCAAAAGGTCATAACCATGCTGATGCCAGCAAGAGGCCTGGAAGAGCCTTTTTCTCTAGACCTGAGCTGGTAAACTACAAAATCTCAAATGGAAAAGCATTCTGAAATGTGCTCTCTCTCCCTCCTTATCTCCCCCACCAGACTCTTCTCCCTCCTGCTGATAGGAAGGGAAAGCCTTAGCCAAACAGCCTTAGCCAAACCCATGTGCCAGCTGAAATTAATGGGACTCTGTGGCCAGTTTATATTTAGCCAGCTTGTTGGGTGAATGACAGAGGTCAGGCGTACATTCTTGTTTTTATGGCTGTGCAGGAAGCTAAGTACGTTTGCTGGAAGCATGAGGCAGGAACTGTCAGAAGAAATGTTTTCACCTGCCTCTGACATGAAATGAGATATTGTTCTTGACTTGGGTATTACGTCCTCCGGGTCTGTGTTAAACTTAGGGCTGCTAATGGGACTTGCCTGACCTAAAAAGAAATATTTAAGCCTCTGCTGACTTCTTTCCTACAAAATGTGAACAGCATTTCCTCTGTGTATGCCTGTTTGTTGCTCAGAAATCTTCTGTTCTTTCATTTAGTGCTCACTGCTTTCTGTGGCAGTAGCAATATTTTTCCTATGGGGCTGACAGGTTCTTAGGGAAAGGAAACCCTTAAAGATTTCATGTTTAAAATCATCTTCACCACCCCCCAGCGGTATCTTAAGTAGTGTTTTTCATAATAAAGAAGAAGAGGTGGAGATTCTCTGAATCCCTGTAAGCCTCTCACTCTGTCAGTGCAACTCACTAGGTAGGGGGCTTATACTCTAGAAATGGGCACTAGTT